CCCCTGAATATGCATGAAGGGAGTGCCATCAATGAATCTCAGGTTACTAAGATTACCCTCTATTAACTCTTATCTCAAACTCTTCCCTATATAGGACTCGAAAACCTCCTGTAAACACGCGGTGAATAGCATTGGAGAGATCTTGTCTTCCGGCTTTACAGCCTTTTTTATTGGAATTCTGTCGCTTTATTAATGGAGAACTTTGGTGGCTGCTGATCCGCTGCAGTTTCCTTACAGTATCTTTGCACGAGAACACATGCGCCCCAATGGGACATTCGCAAAATGATCCCGATGACGTCCGCATTACAGTCTACAATTATCCACTGGCAATCGTCATCATCATCATCATCAGCCTGACTACGTCCATTGCAGTACAAAGGCCTCTCCCATGTTCCGCCAGTTAACCCGGTCCTGTGCTTGCTGCTGCCAATTTATACCCGCAAACTTCTTAATCTCGTCTGCCCACCTAACCTTCTGTCTCCCCCTAACGCACTTCCCTTCTCTGGGAATCCAGTTAGTTACGCTTAATGACCAGCGGTTATCCTGTCTACGTGCTACATGCCCGGCCCATGTTTCATTTCCTCTTCTTTATTTCAACTGTGATATCCTCAGCCCCCGTTTGTCCCCTAATTCACTCTGCTCTCTTCTTGTCTCTTAAGGTTACACCTGCCATTTTTCTTTCCATTGCTCGCTGCGTCGTCCTCAATTTAAGCTGAACCCTCTTTGTAAGTCTCCAGGTTTCTGCTCCGTAGCTAAGTACCGGCAAGATACAGCTGTTATATACCTTCCTCTTGAGGGATAGTGGCAATCTACCTGTCATAATTTGAGAGTGCTTGCCGAATGTGCTCCACCCCATTTTTATTCTTCTAGTTACTTTAATCTCGTGGTTAGGCTCTGTGGTTATTACCTGCCCTGAGTAGACATAGTCTTTTACAACTTCAAGTGCACTATTACCTATCTCGAAGCGCTGCTCCTTTCCGAGGTTGTTGTACATTACTTTCGTTTTCTGCAGATTAATTTTAAGACCCACCTTTCTGCTCTCCTTGTCTAACTCCGTAATCATGAGTTGCAATTCGTCCCCTAAGTTACTCAGCAATGCAATGTCATCGGCGAAGCGCAGGGGACTAAAGTATTCTCCATGAACTCTTATCCCTAACTGTTCCCATTCTAGGCTTCTGAAAACCTCTTGTAAGCACGCGGTAAATAGCATTGGGAAGATTGTGTCCCCTAGCCTTACACCCTTATTGATTGGTATTCTGCTGCTTTCTTTATGAAGCACTATGGTAGCAGTTGATTCCCTGTAGATTTCTTCCATAATGTTTATATATACTTCATCTACACCCTGATTCCGCAGTGTCTGCATGACGGCTGATATTTCTACTGAATCAAACGCCTTCTCGTAATCTATGAAGGCTATGTATAGTGGTTGGTTATACTCTGAGTATTTCTTTATTACCTGATTGATAGTATGAATGTGGTCAATTGTTGAGTAGCCTGTTCGAAATCCTGCATGTTCCTTTGGTCGATTGAATTCTAATGTTTTCTTTACTCTATTAGCAATTACCTTTGTAAATAGCTTGTATACTAAGAGAGCAAGCTGATCGGCCTGTAATTCTTCAAGTCCTTGTCATCTCCTTTCTTATGTATTAAGATGATGTTAGCGTTCTTCCAAGACTCTGGTACCCTTCCCGTCAGAAGACACCTCGTAAACAGGGTGGCTATTTTTTCTAACACAATCTGTCCTCCATCTTTCTGCAGATCTGATGTTACCTGATCCTCACCAGCAGCTTTGCCTCTTTGCATGCTCTACAAAGCTTTTCTGACTTCTTCTATCATTACTGGTGGGGTGTCATCTGGGTTATTGCTAGTTCTTATAGTATTAAGGTCGTGGTTGTCTCGGCTACTGTACAGATCTCTGTAAAACTCCTCCGCTATTTTAACTATCCTATCCATATTGGTAGTTATTTTGCCTTCTTTGTCCCTTAGTGCATACATCCGACTTTTGCCTATCCCAAGTTTCCTTTTCACTGCTTTGACGCTTCCTCCGTTTTTCAGAGCGTGTTCAATTCTCTCCATGTTATACCTTCTTACACCGCATACTTTACGTCTCCTAATCAGCTTCGAAAGCTCTGCCAGTTCTAATTTGTCTGTTGTACTTGACAGTTTCATGCTTTGACGCTTCTTAATTAGGTTCTTCGTTTCCTGGGAAAGCTTGCCAGTGTCCTGTTGAACTACCCTGCCTCCAACTTCCACTGCACACTCCGTATTGATACTCGTCAGATTATCATTCATTGTATCTACGCTAATGTTGGTTTCCTCACTAAGAGCCGAGTACCTGATCTGCAGCGACACTCTGAATTCCTGTACTTCCCTCTCAGTGCTAGCTCATTGATTGGCTTCTTGCGTATCAGTTTCTGTCGTTCCTTCTTCAAGTCTAGGCGAATTCGAGACCGTACCATTCTATGGTCACTGCATCGTACCTTGCCAACCACTTCCACATCCTGCACGATTCCTGGGTGTGCAGCGATTTTAAAGTCTATTTCATTCTTATTTTCGCCATTAGGGCTCCTCCTTGTCCACTTGCGGTTTTCTCGTTTGCGGTAGAAGGTATTCAAAATCCGCAAATTATTGCGTTCTGCGAATTCTACTAGTAGCTCTCCTCTAGCGTTTCTAGTGCCGATGCCATAATCTCCTACTGCCTGGTCTCCGGCCTGCTTCTTCCCAACCTTTGCATTAAAGTCGCCCATCACTATAGTATACTGTGTTTTTACCTTACTCATTGCCGATTCCACGTCTTCATAGAGGCTTTCAACTGAAGCGTTATCATGGCTGGATGTAGGCGCGTAAGCCTGTACTACTTTCATCTTTTATCTTTTATTCAGTTTAATTACAATACCTACCCAGGTAGGTATTACATTACAGTACCTACCTTACATTACAGTAATTACAGTACCTACCTAGGTAGGTTGGTACTGGCAATCGTACTGGGTACTGAATAAAGATCCTTCCCTGAATCTAGAGACGTGATAAAATGCTACATGTTTGTTCCTGCTTGATTCATGGAAACAATGTTACATGTTCGTTTCTGTTTGATTCATGAAGAAAAAAATCACCAGACGTTACTAATGGCGGGAGTGGTTCAAAAGTTCAATTTTTGCTGGTTAAACTGGGCAGGTTTTGCCATCTAGCGGGGCCCAGTTGAACCAAGCATGTCTGCCATCTCGGAGTCAGAGCAGGAACTTGTTCAATGGCGGTTGTTGCTGCTGTTGCTCCCACTGCCATAATTCTGCTGCTACTAGTGTCGGTGGCCGCGCAGTAAAGCCGGGAAACGTTGTGCACGGCAACAGTGAGGTGAGACGCTCTGCTTGAGGCGGGTAACTTGAAGTGCACTAACCTGATGCGGACCACTAAAACGCGAGTTTATTGCAAAATAATCACTTCCTTGGCACAAAACTAACACTATGAGCCTTCTGAACTATTATTTAACAATCAATGTCGACCTAATAGTTGCCTTTGGTGTCCCTTATTGCATACATCCCATTTTTTCCTATGCTCATGTTTGCCTTTACAGCTTTCCAGCTTATGCCGCTTTTTACAGCCTGCTTGATTCGCAGGGAACACTGTATTTAGCCGGACTTGTAAGTCACGTCAAAAGTGTATTCTTGAAGCTTCAAAGCTCAAAGGGCCAAGTTATCTAGTAGGATTTTTGAGGGACGACAAGCAGCACAGAGCATTGTGATCTATGATTACAGAAAATGGGTGGCGAAATAAGTATCGTCACAATTTTCCGACTGCCCAAACAACTGCGAGGCAGTTGCGCCTTGTGATCTAAAACTTCCATTCTGACGCGGAAAGGAGTCGACTGGCGTCCTGCCGAACTTGCCAACACTGCCGAGGGCGAGGCCTGGGGCCCGCCGCCATCCCAGAGCCTTGCAGAGCGAATACCAAGTTAACGGGAGACGTGGCTGCCATGGGCGGCCAAAGAGGAACGGCGAAGCAAAGTGAAGTGCGCTAGCGTGATACAAGAATACGTGTCTACATGCACAAAAAACCGACACATGGCTCGCCCCGGACTAAAATGCCTGGCTGCAAAATCATGGTCGCCAATTTTTTGGTGCAAAAACCACTCAGGGTGAGCACTGGCGCTAGCTGGGCGCCAAACGAGGCACCGAAAGGGAGTGTGCACCCAGTTCCCACAAGAACAACTCTGCGCTCCTATGAATATCCAATGAATAGTAGCGGTGGCGACAATCACTGCTGTAGCTCTCCTGGCACGGCAACAAATCAGTAATTCAATGGTTCCAGGTTTAGTCCTGGACGGCTTCCTTTTTTTTTTAGATTAAACCATTGTTATTATAAATACCATCTTAGATATTTTCCTTGGCCCTTTACTTTCTGTTACTTCCCATGATATTCCCTCGTGATGTTTTTTCGTCTAACGCGACGAGCGTATGTTCGTATTATTTGTGGCTTCCGTATCTACATGCTTAAAATGATGTTGACTGTATGATTGAATGATGGTATCGCGTTCTATTCTGTTTCCTCGACTTGGCGCGTTGACAAGAGGTGTCCAGCTGAACAATAACGAGTATCAAAAGCACGCGACGCCGAGCCACATGTGTTCTTCATTACCCACTAAAGTGGCATGTGTGCGTGTCATTGTTATGGCCAACGATTTCGGTCCTTTACTCGCAAAATTTATGTCGTTACCCTAAAACTGCTTTAGGTATTTGCTCTTTTCTCGACAACACTAGCGACTATACTTCTAAGAATAAAATAAATAAATATCGCATAAAAACCACCTGCTTTCTTTATCCCAAGATCTGTTGCCCATGTGTGACTCTCGCTTGATTAAATCCTATTAAGCCTGTTCGAGCCCTGAAACTTGTTTGTCTGTGTACAGAACTGAGGCTCACCACACAAAAATCAGTCGCCCCACCAACGCCTTTTGCGGCCTCGTTAGGCACTCTTGGTATTACCACTGGTTTCTTCATTACTATTCACAAGTGAGTGTTTTTCTCTTCAGTAGTTGTTATCGGCCTTGCGCCCATCACGGGTGAGCCTGCGTTGTCATCGGCCAGTTCTCGCTGCTTGGAACGATCGGTGATCCAAAGGCCAAGATTGAACACGAAGGATAAACCAAGCATGCCACCAATGAGGCGGAACAAACCATTGTAGCTGCCGTAGTTGTCCCGGAAGAACCCTGCGTTTTGCAAATGGGGTGAGAATTAGAAAGAGCGGAAATATAGAGAAAAAAGACAACAGCGATACTAATTCTACGTACTGTCATAACGGGCCTGCAGGCACTTTCAAGGTGTTATTTCCGTCAGGCGCGTTTAAGCTTTTTCCCTGAAGGACCCCCAACAAATTGTAACAAATTATTAGAAATAACGATTTGATCGAAAGATTAATTCTTGATGTTCTCTCTTGAAAATACTCGTAGGACACTCTGCGGGGAATGCTGCGGAGAATGCACCCTGCACTGTCAGAGCTCTCAGAGCTCTCAGAGAGAACTCTCAGAGCAACTCTAGAACAGCGGGCTTTCCGTGACAGATAGGTCATGCTACCCCTCCTGCATATATCTTATGCACGTGGGCGACCGCGCTGAACTTGCGACATTGTAGGAGCTCTTGTCCAGCTTGGAGACAGTGCCGAAGCACAAGAAACACTGGGCAGTTTTTTACTGCTTCCCAATAAAAAACAGTGACCAATGGTGGTTTGCACACGGCTCAACCACGAGCAATGTAGCAGCTACGATTTTTTGTCTCCCTTTCAACTCGCTCCCGCAAGAATAGAAGACAAAACAATTTAAAAAATGTCAGGGCAAGACCACTCCTACTTCAATATAATAAAAAATAATTAAATAGGTGTTGTTAGTGCGACGAAAACGCAAATTTTCTCTGGAAGTAGCTAATTCGGATAATAATTTGCGTTGTCTCCAGTAGGAAGCATCGCTAAAAAGACGGGACGAAGAGCGGACACAAATCACCGCACTCAACAACAACGGGATTTGTTTTATTCGTCCAGTCCTCATATATAAGCCCCATGCCCATCCTTATGGAACAGGTGTCGTGAGAAAGAGGACGGTGACGAGTTGCGGCCGTTTAATTCTTTATACTATATTGCGGCAATGTGGTCTACCAGTTACGTCGGCCGTTCTGCTATAATTTTGGGCCTTTGCGCTGGGGCACTCAGACAGGAATATTTTTAAAAGATTTAGTAGGTGTATCAACTACTAACAATTTTTTATACAGCCTTCCTAGTCAAAAGATCTTCACTGTCTGCGAGATTACACAAAATAGTGCCACTTAAAATTACTATGATTCATAATTAACGTTACACTAAAAAATCATCTCAAAATTATTTTAGCTCTTAGTAAATATTAATCATAAATTCAGTATGCATGATCCTCCCAACTCATGGCCGATAACTCAAAGTGGGTAGGCGCTAATGATTCAAGGAGCATCATCATCATCATCATCATCATCATCATAAAAAACTATCCGATTTTTGGCCTATCCCCCAATATGGGTGTGCGCCACATATTCAAGGAGCTTGGTTTACAGTGTGCGCCGCATGTGTGTGTGCCACTGTCAAAAGTTTTATCTACTCTACATTCATGTTCCGTTGGTGCTATACCTCGACTGTTCAAGGCGTCGCTGCTTTGTAAAAAATCGACGTACGACACTGGTTGAAAGTTGCTGGAATCTCTCGCCTCAACCTGGAACTTCGCAACCGAACGTTGCAAGCTCATTAAAACGCCACCAGCTCGGACACTGTCGACAATGAGCCCGAAACAGCCATTGCTCCCACCCCCTGCAGTGCTGTTCAGCGGCAACGTGACGCTCCCGTGTTTGGCGCAGCCAGCGAGACTGACACTGAAGACTGGCTCTCGATCTATGAGCGTGTCAGTGAGCTCAACAAACGGGATTACCGAAGAAACTACGTGCCATTATTTTCTACCATGCAAACGTAGTGTACCTGTGTTTGCACAATCATGAGCGTCCGGTGTGAACGTGGTCTGCTTTGATGGCAACCTTCTTGAATGTCTTCGGTCGCCCACCTTTGAGGAAGCTCCGTGCTGAGCAACATCTACGCGCTGGCGCTCAAGTACCTAATGACACGCACACCAGCTACACAGAGGATATCGTAGACCTATGCGTCCGCATCAATTCCTCCGTGAATGACAAGCACCAATTAAAGCGTATAGAGCATCGAGGATAACGTTTTTGAGATGCTTCTTGCACGCAACACTTCTTCCGTCGCTGTCGTCTACGAAGTTTGCCAGAGCTTTGACGAACTTCGAAGAGCCATGGTGCGCAGCGCTGTTGCACTTGCAAACTCGCTTTTGGCTCTCTCCAGCCACAGTAAGGTCTTTTTTCGTTAGGAGTTTGCGTGCCAACTGTCAATGCTTCCGCTAAGCGTTCGCACTGTACAGCCTGCCCCACCTGGTCGTGGTTGGATTCTCGAAGTCCAGCATAGGTGAAAGGGAAGAATCCCTACGCTGCTCGACTGGCATGTTGGCGACGTCGATCTGTGACAGAGATGCTAAAGACATTAAAGCGGAAGCCACATCAAAAGGTATCGGCGATCGGGAAACGTCATCGGCGTCAGAGTGCTTTCACCCGCTTCATCGCCACTAGCTTCTTTGTGCACTACGCCATCCTTTACCGGTGAAACCATTCACCTGACCATCGCAAATGACTACTCATGATTCTCGATACATACGCTCTGAAATGTGTGAATATTTTTATTCTGCTCCTCATAATGGTCATGCCGGTGCGCTGAAAACATATACTCACACACACCGTGTGTGTGTATATGCTCGTCTATATACTCGTCTAAAACATATACTCGTCTATGGCAACGCGGCCGGAATGTATAATTTCGTCCGCAACTACGTCCGCGCCCACACGGCATGCTAGCTACGAAAACTTCAACAGGAGGATTCTGCTCAATTACAACAATTGCACTAATAAACTCGTCCTTGTGATCGCGTCAGCCTAGACCCACTTTCCTAAAGCTCCTCGGGTAACCGATGGGTCGTTGTAAGAGTCTATAACCTGATGCGCTACGACAAGTCCTCTGCAATTCTAGCCGCTACTGCACACGAAGTCAAATTCTTGATTTCGCAGAACTTCGTTCTCCAGCGTGGTGAACCACGAGAGCTGCTCAGTGACAAAGGCTGAGTGTTGTTTTCTGAAGTAGTACAAGCTCTTTTGGCTGCATGCCACATCGATCACCGCAAGTCTACAGCCTACCATCGGCAAATGAACAGCTTGATGAGGAGGCTGACTGCACCCTCGGTGACATGCTGACTATGTACGTCGCCTCAGATCATAGCAAATGGGACGCTGCTTTGCCGTTCGTAACATACGCTTACAGCACTGCCATACAATCCACCACTGGCTTTTTCCTCTCATTTCTGCTATACGGCCGAGAGTCATCTTGCACTAAGAACACATTATATGCTTCCTTAGTGTCTCGACACTTCCGAGTGCATGGCGGGGTCTTAAGCACCCAAATAAGCAGAAGACCCGGCAGCTTGCACCTAGACTTATGACCGCCGTACAAGCTCCCGAAAAGCTTCGGCATGACATGGCGTGTCTCCCTAACTTTTCGCGACTGGTTAAATCGTTAGGCTACCGGCCCCACCACACAGCACTGGACGTTCAACGAAGTTTATTTCTTGTTATAATTTCCCCTACTGTATATTTGACCGCTCATCCAATGTCAACTACGTCGTTAAACCTGTGACGCTATCCCACGACCTGAGACATAGCGGTTGTAACAGTACAGTGCTTGTTAGCCGACTGAAGCCATATAATGACCCTTTTATCTTACCTACGCCTTAGTCACCAGGATAGCTCCTCTTCACGCCTGGAGGCCATTGTAGTGAGAAAAAGGAATACGATGCGTTTCCGCCGTTGTTAACTGCGCATGCGGTCTACCTTCGTGTTCCATCAGTGCTATACACCTCGACTGTTGAATGCGTCACTGACTCATAATAAATTGACGCACAACACAGGAAACAAGAAAAAAAGAGCCAGCCTTCCCAGCAGCAATAAAAGCGATAAGCGGGACAATAATTTCTACTCCTTCGGAAGGCACTGTTGTAAATATATCACGCTTGAGAAAAGAGACGTCTGCGTTCGCCATGGTATTTTGGCAAAAAAGTGGTATTTTTAGGAAGATGTGTGGCAACAGCACTTGTTTCAATGAAGAGGCCGTTGACAGTCTCTAGCTTGTTTATAGAACACGTTCGCACAATTCATTAGCACAACGCCTAATTTTCCCCACGTAACACCCGCACGAAAGGTTAATCTTGTATACAACCGCATCGCATCATCTAAGAAACTTCCGCCGATGCTGTTTACAGCGTTTTGTATTGATTTCTGGATCTACTAGCTGATATAGGTGACCAAGCTAATTTTTGTAGAAAACAACCACCTAACGCCTGCCACTTCATTCAGATTATGCGCCACATGATGCACATCAGGGATGACAGCTACGGTTTTCAGTGGGTTCCTCGCTGATTGACCAGGCGTCGAACATTGGTTTCAAAGCTTTTTTAAAGCTATCCGCAATGCTAGATAAAAGCGCTTTTTGAGAAACATGAAAGTCTCAGACTTGCTACTTGAGAACTTAAATTCCCTTCAACTTGATAGTTGTAGGACTGCCTTCATGCAAGGCCTTGTCAATATCGCGCTTAATATTCTTCGAGTGAGCAGAGCAAAAAATGGAAAAGGCTTCTTTTACATCTACCTGCAAACCTTAACGGATATGGCTATTTCAGAACAAGATGTTCAAGTCTAGAAAGCGTTGCCTATATCGTCTGAAGGATGCTTAGTGGTCTCCTCAAAAAGAGTGAATTCTATAAGAAACTTGTCCTAAACAACAGCAGGCTGCATTTTACGAGACTAAGTGCTATAAATAATTAAAATGATGTCCAAGTATTGGATCGAAATTAGCGTGCTAATCTGTCTGAGCTTGCTCTAGAGATTATAGTAATAGCTGGTTAGTAAAATATGCCTAGAAACAAGGGCTATGTTTGAGAATATGCAGAGTTGTTATTTACCACTTTATGAAAAGCTTATCGAAATTACTCACGAAGCTTGATTACACATAAACTTGACAAACTCCAAGAACTTTTCGACCGTGATTCCATCTGCATTTTGAAACTTCACAACAACAACGTATCTG